CATCTACACCATTCTGGTGGTACAGAAGATAGTGCTGATCTCTTCTGATCAGCACTGTGGCTGCAGAGAGACTGCAGATGTGTAGGAAATGTAGCCATTGCTCAAAAAGAGTATGTGTATGCAGTTTATGAATGAATGATGTTCCATTTTTTGCTTTAATTTCTTATTATCCAAGCAGAGATCTTTACTTGGATATATAAAAGAGATACTGAGCCTCTGCAAGGAAAGCCATGTTGTACAATTTCCATCTGATGTTTACTTTTTACTGTAGATCTGATGTTCTCTGATGTTTATCATCAATTCTGCGAATGTTTATCATCATTAATTTACTTTTGGTAGCTTTATGAAGTGCATAATGTTGTTTACAATAATATACAGTAAGGTAGTTTCTAGAACTTCTTGGCCAGTATCGAGTTAATTTACAGCCGCTGGTTTGTCCCCCTTTTGAAGCCTCAATGCTCTAAACTATGGCAATTCTTCTGTGTTTGGACAGGTGACATAGTCAACTACCTATTTGAGAAATATGGCAATGGTACAAACCTGAGTGCTGGGCTACTTGAAAGGTACTGTAAGCCCTCTCTGTCTACCATAAAGAACACTCATATATCAGTTGTTCACTTGTTTGAGAATTTAGAGGAAGGTATTGATCTCTACTTGAAAGGTACCATATGCCAGTCTCTATCTACCTTCTAGAACACTCATATTGTGAGTTTTTTTTTTTTAAATCTTGGGGAGAGTAAAATTTTGAAGATAGAGGACCAACTGTAATTCAATGGAACGTAAAAAGAAAAAAAATTGAAACTTAATGGAAATTTGAGGATAACATTTGGTAATTTCCTCAATATTTACATTGTTATCTGAGGCTTTTGATTTTCCTTTTTTGTATTTCTCATTAGGTGAGAAATAAGAGAACCTTTTTGGAAACTTTGGGAGTGATTAACAAAATGCTGTTGTAATCTAGGACTTGAATGTGAGTGTGCATTCTTTATTGGTCTGAGGTGTGCATATATCATGCAGAAGATGTAAAGTTAAGAGAGTTTGGACTGCTTAATGTTTTTGCTGTCATAAATATATGATACAACTAATATATTGCGTCTCTTAACTTCATTCATCTCCTCTCTCTCTCTCTCTCTCTCTGATATGCAGTACATTATTCACGGGATGGATGCCGACAATTCTTAGAGCAGGTAGAGGAATGACATTATGGGAAAAGGCAAGACAAGACCAACTGCCAGAAATGTTGGAACTTTTCTCATATGAAAACAATCCTGTAAGAAAATGCAATGCTTTTGCTGGTCTTTATCAAGGATATGATAGTGTCCTACTCAGAATATATTAGTGAGATGATCTGATAATTTGGGGGTGGGGGGGGGGCGGGGGGAGGAGATTTAGCGGAAGCAGTTCTAGTTTGATTTACTCTCCTTAGTAAGAAATTTAAAAAAATTTAAAACTTTCTCCTGATCCATTTTCATTAGATCACCTAATGTAACACAGAAGTCCATACTTATGAGCACGTTTCATTGTCGGTGAAACCAAAGAAAAGCTTTTACTTGTTCATGTTAACTTCTTTGTTTGCCCCCTAAATACTAAATAGTCCTCTGTTCCATCTTCCTCAGTATGCTCGAATTGTCCGTGAGGCGCTCTGCGAGTTGGAGCTCCCTTACATCCTGCAAAATGTTGGAGAAGGATCTAGTCGGGAAAAGATACTTATGGACCTATCCGGATCAAAAGAGGTTGGTTAGTGCATGGATAAGAGATCGTGCGATTTTCCAGCTACATTTTACATACTATGATTTGACATCGATGAGACCATAAGAGGAAACTCGATGCAACGTCTTAAATTGCAGGTGCCTTTCATAATTGATCCCAACACGGGCGCTAAGATGGGTGACTACAAGAAGATCCTGGACTACCTGTTCCAGACATACTCTTCTGCTGCTTAGCAAGATTAGGAGTGTATAGATGTACCTGTAAACTGTACAAACAACTACACCAGTTTGGCTATGTTACTGCATATCTGCAAACGTGCTTTGTATATCTTCAAAGAACCGCATGCATATACTTAGATGTGAAGAAAATCTCAGACCAACTGTTCGGATGGAGGCAAGGGTATTCTTTTTACGTGACCCAGAGAACCGGATCTAACCCATTTGTTACGGGGATAGAAAACTTAGTTCATCTTGTAAAAAGTTACTTACAGAAGATATATTTGAAGTTTATTTCAATGTGTACGAAAACTACTAATTGTACGGAATAAAAAAGGTCTATTATATCTTGGGAGAATAGCTGCTATAGTTTATTGCATCGAATTTCGCACTCCGAGGGGCGAGATTATTCTTAAGAACAGTGCTTGCACGCCTCAAACATTTTGATTTTATTATTTCATCTTTTCAATAGATTTCCAACAATTCTTACTTTTCATATTATCTAATTTTTTCCAACAAATTATAAAGTAAGTTGTTCCTACCCTCTTTAATATATGTCAATCGTATCTTACATTCTATTTGTAAATTGAATCAGTACTATTAATATGTGATTGTTGTTGGTGATATCATATATGAAATATGGGAATGATTGACGTCATGTGCATCAAACATCGACGATATTTGGGATTAGTGGGAACTAAGTGCTCTGCGGGACAAAAAGTGCTACATCGAGAGAGCCAAATTTTGAGCCTTGTTAGGAAAAATTGTTGGGAGCCACCTCTAGAATCATACTAGTGCGACCACCTGTGTATCGGCAGCATTATTTATATGAAACGCGTAATCGAATAACATTTGTTTGACTAATTATTGTTAGGATGCATAAGTGAAATTGTTAGGCGATAGAAGTCCCACATCAGGGATATGATGCAATATAGAGTGATTAATATATTTTAATTGACTTATAACTTATTGGTTTAATCTTTTGAATGAAAGTTAGTATAATCGGATATGTTCATGGGACGTTTCGGACTTGCGCTCCCTCGTGGAGGTCTCTTAGGTGAAGGTATCGAATTTGTGCCACGCGCTGCCAACATTTATTAACAAAAGTTGTGAACCCTAGAAGTCGAGGCAAATTACATGGTCGATCGGTGATGTGCTGACTCGACCTTGAGGCTGATTGACCTACAGTTGTTACGGGCTGGTCTGGATTGGGAAGATTAGGAGATCGAGGTCCTGGTATAAAAGCACGTGACGAAAATTAAGTGTGGATTTTTTGGTTGTTACATGACACGTTCTGGATCAAGGCACTATATTTTACATTATCACAAACACAAGTAGTGAGGGGTTCACCAACTGGACAACATGCATAATTTATTTGAAGGAAAATTGCCCAATTAGTCGTAAGCTTATCGTACGGATGTCAATTCTATTCTAAACTTTTCAATTTTGTCAATTTAATCTTAAACTTTTGGAATCTGATGTTGCTCCCAGTTTTGGTTAGAGATGTTTCTTTTAATATATAAGGCGGCCGACGACATGCCGTTTAATATAAGTACGTGATATCACTCAAACATAAAGACTCATATTCCATCTTACAGAAACGCTAACAAGAAATCAAAACCTACCATTCTCCCCCGACCCTGCGGTCAGAGCCAAATCTGCATTATCAGAGTTCCAAGTCTTAGGATGGCAGTCCATGGGTTTCATCATCCCAAGGGATCTTTTTCTAGTCCCACTTTTAGTGGTTCCAAATCTTCATGAAATCTCGGAGCACAAGAGGCATCAGTTCACACACCGAGTGTCCATAAAATGACTTTTCATTTCGGGATAATTATACTAATAGTCCTTGAATTTTGACTCAATATGCAATATCGTTCCTGAATTTTAAATTTGATCAATATGGTTCCTGAACTTCAACTCAATATGTAATGCGATTCCTGAAATTTTGATAAATATTCAATATAATCGCTAAACTTATATCCAATGTTATCATTCGATTAAAAATTCAAGTTTAGGATATGATTGTCTACTCCGATACGGCGGATAGTGCTTGCTTTTGACAAGTGGGCGAGAAGTCCCTTTCACCAACGAAAAACTTATCCAAGAGCTGTGGCAAATTGATGAATAGTTTATTTCCATTGCCATCGTGATCATGCATCGACACTACATTATGGAGGTCCAATTACACCCCGCAAACTGCGAAAATAATTGAGGACCCGCGCCTTCCATTTTTACAATGACTTATCTAGAAGTTTCTAACCCGTGACGATAATATACAATAGAAGTGTACGTATCTATTCTGATGTGAATAAAGGATCCGTCGCATCCGAATCAAGCCTTTTAACACCCTGACACACTTTTAGAGGGTTAAGGTAAACGATGCTCGAGGATAGAAGCTGGGTCAAGTTGTTAGTATGCTGCTTGATCTCATTGGTAAATTGGTCAAACTCCCCTTGATTCCAAAGTCAAATTTGGCTAGGTAGCTTGACTACATATCATCCGAGTTGAGCTCCAATATGAAAAATTAGTCTACTTGAGCAGGCCGCGGTCCTAATCAAGAAATTGAATTTTTATTTGTACTCACTCTATTTACACGTCTAATGATTCATATACCATCAATGGCTGCATCAATTGTTTGCCCATAATGTACTTATGTTGAGATTTTTTGCGTTCAATTCACAAACACTGTTTCAGTTCGTCTTTTTTACTCGTTTAAAATAAGAGCTAAGGCTAAACCAAAAGAGAAAAATCTTGATGATAGAAATCCCTGCCAAGGCATTTTTTATTCATTAATATCCACAACGCTTATTTGCTTCTTGCACATAAGACCACCCGGTCCTGGACAAAGAGGTACAAATAGAGGTACAAATCCTGCTACGTCCCACAAAAACAAAAACAAAAAAACAGAGACTAGTGGTACTTTTGCTTCGTGAAAAATGAATGATTTGAAAAATATTTTCGTAAAAATGATTGCTCGCATCGCTTAAAATAAATAACTGATAGAAAATATTTTCATTATCGAAATGGTTTATGTCTACATATTCGTAGATAATGAAAATATTTTTCATTCATTCATTTTTATACGCAATACAAGCAATCATTTTTATAAAATATTTTTTAAATTATTCAATTTTTGCAAAACAAACGGAACTTAAAAAAGAGCGAAAGAAAGAGCATCATATCAGAAGCGTCATTCAATCACTTGGCGAACTCCATCACTCCCAATACAGACACAGCTCGGGCAGCGACCTTAAAGCCCGTGAATCCAGCTCCGTTGCACAGGTACTCGAACTGCTTCTCGGTTCTCTCCTTCCCTCCCGGCTGGATCAACATGGCGTTGTCGAGCAGCGACACGTATCGAGACGCCATCGTCTCCTCCGGCTCCTCCGGCATGATGAGGTCCATCACAATCACCTTTCCGTTCGCCGGCAACGCCTCGTAACAGTTCTTCAGGAACTTTACGCATGACTCGTCGCTCCAATTGTGGCATGTGCCCTGCCCAATTTGCGGGGTCATTAGAAAGTTAGGACGCAGCTCGCAAAGTCGACTTCAATTTGAGTAGCATAATTTATGGGAAGGATTCGATTAGCTTGCCTTAATCATGATTGCATCGCCCTCCGGGACACTCACGAACATATCCCCTCCGACGTGCTCCACGCCTGCATGCCGTTTTTACCAAATTTGTCATAGGCCTATGCCTCTGATTTTCGCAAACATAATTTCGTGCTAAATGATTTGGACCAAAATAAGTGCGACTAAGCCGAGGAAGTATGTGATAATTAATGTACCGGGATAAGAAGGAGCGTGTTCGATGACTTGGGGCAAATCGAAGTTGATGCCCTTGATCGAGGGGTACTTCGAGACGATCATGTTCAGGGTCGCCCCTTTTCCACCGCCGACGTCAACCAGGGTCGTGATCTTGTCGAACCCGTGGTAGACCTCGAGGATCTTCTTCATCTGCGTCGCGGAGAGACCGGCCATTGCGTCGTTGAAGTACTTGTTCAGGGATGAGTCCTCCTTCATGTACTGGAATATGGTCTTGCCATGGACCTTTTGGAACAAGTTGCCTCCTCCTCCCACAATTGCTTCCTTGACTTGGAGCCTATGATTGCCAAAAAAAAAAGGGAAAGAAGGATTTGTTTGATTCAATTCATTGCTGAATCTAGTTTCCACTTGTCGGGTATTGCGACGGCAGTGTATCTCGTGCGTGTCCCACATGATCGCTTTCAAATCATATAGATAGGTCATGCGTTCACAGATTAAGGAATTAAGACTCGATTCACTCTTTAGTTACGCAACTAGAGGAACTAAATAAATATTCTGATATCAAGCCAAAGTCGTGGATGGAAATTTTCACTCGCCAGACGTCAATGGTGGCTTGGTGGAAGGCGAAGAGAGAGAGCGAGCCGACAGAGCCGCCATCCTCGTCCTTGACGTAGTACTTCCCGACCGGCGATATCGCGTACCGCCTCTCCACGGTCCTCCCGTCGTCGAACGTCTCGGATTTGTACGTGAGGAGCGAGTGGCTCGAGAGGCAACGGAGGACCCGGTCGAGGATCTCGGGCGACTCGGGGGTCCGGGCCGGGAGGTGGGCGGCCACCTCGGCGGGCGACATGTAGGCCCCGGGGCCCGCCCGGGCTATGATCCCAAAGAGGTCGAGCTCGACGGCGGCGTGCAGGATCCTTGGGAAGACTTGGAAGCTAGAGTACAAGAGGGCTTTGAGACATGGGTCTTCTTCTTCATGGCAGGGTCTTACTAGGTTTTCCGTGGAACTCATCTTTCGCTTTCTATGCTTGTGTTGGACAACGTTTGGATGGGTGCTCGGTTGATTCCTTGAGGATATATGAATCGACGAAGGAAGTGATTCACGAACTTTGGTGGGATCGCATACATATGGTGATGGGCACTAGGCACTTACAATAATCAAAAGGTGAACATGTAGGTCTCACCACTAAGTGGCCAAAAAAGAATGACTAAACAATGAATCAGATTAGTCTTGTCCTGTGGTCCAAGATGGCCACGCTTCCATGTCGCGTAATTGCACAAATTATTGATAGCTTTTAGCATAGGAAAATGGGGGTACACATATATGGGATCCATCACATTTGTTAAAGCACAATCCCTTGGGACACATGATTTAATTAATAGATTTGATTGCGCCTCGTTATACACATGTCGTCTTTCTCCATCTAATAATTGAGGTTTATCGGTTGAACTTTCATGTGATTTTAGATCATGAATCCCTTTTTAAGAAGAAAGAGTTAGAACGTTCAAAGTAAAATATCAAATTGAGGGAGATTATTGTGCATATAAGATCTTGTAAAATTTCATATTTATGCGGCGTGGATATACTTGAGAGGCAAGTTAGAATTCCTCCAGAGTATTTTCGTCGGAACTGGTTTGCTAGTGGGATAAAATTCATCCGCAAAGTACCTTAGTTTTCATTAACTCTCACAACTTGTTACTTTCATGTCGGTCCCCTCCCCCTCTGTCCTCGTCAATTTCCCGACATCCATGTCAATCGGACAAAGGGGAAAAACCACTAAAAGCCCCAAATTATGTTTATTATAATAGATTCACCCCAAATTTTTTTTGTGATACAAAAATTTTAAATTATATTAATTGTGACATATTTACCTTTCCGTTACGGTTCACCGTTAAAAAGCTGACATGGATCTGAAGTGGATCTCTCTTCTTTCCTCTTTCGCGGACGAGCGACTTCTTCACTTCCCTTCTTTTGTCCGTTGAAGGCCTCTCGCACCATTTCATGAAGAAGAAAGAAAGGGGTTGGGCTTTTAGAGACATGGGCTGGGCCTGATAAAATAGTATTTATACTTTGGGCTTTTATTTCAATATTCAAGCCCAACTATTACGGTTCGAATCTGATGCTGATCTCAATTGTTCTGGAGTGAAGTTGGACTGAGATCCCCCACGATGACTTCGGGGGTGTTTGGTTCAGCTTTGGGAAGGGGCTTTGGGCCTCGAAAGCCCCTTCCCAAAATGCTAGAGTATTTGGTTTAGCATTTGGTCTAGCATTGGCCAAATTCTGGCATTCCAAATGCTACTGTTCATATTTTTTTTTTTTTGGGTTTAGCGCTGTTCATCGTCTTCACCAGAAGGGCCGGCGAGGGTCACCGGGGGTCGCCCGACCCCTGGCGAGCCAGATCCGCCTCCGCCGGCGGTAGACCGAGGCCAGGCGACCCTCGGCGGGGGTCGCACGACCTGTGCGGCCGTTGCACTGGGTCGCGCGACCCAAAGCGGCCGTCGCCCGGGTCGTGCGACCCCGCCGAAGGTTGCCTGGCCTCGGGTGACCGCCGGCGGCGGCGGATCCGCTCGCCGGGGTCGCCCGACCTCGGGCGACGGCCGCCGGGCGGCCGGCTCCGGCGATGGGTAGGTTTTGTTTTTTATTTTTTTAATAAATAAGATAATTCTCAAAGTGCATTTGCAAAAAAAATTCACCAAACACTATATTTTGGCCAAAGTAGCTTTACAAAATATTTTTACCGGGCTTTCACCCAAAGGTATTTGCATTCCCCCAAGTAGCATTTTCAAAGTTGAACCAAACAGGCCCTTCGTCGCTCTATGGTTTCGTGCATTATTACTTTTGCCGCGGAGGCAATGCTGGTGGTCACCTGAAATTGCCCCGCCCTTCCGCTCTTGCGATCTCAAATCTTCGTATTTGCACCGCAGTGCAGAGGAGATGATGGTGGTCGCCATGTTCAATTGCAGCCGCCATGGCAGCGGCGGTGGCCGCAATCCCTAGATCCTTTTCAAGTTTTTAGTTTTATTAAATTTTCTTACTTTCAATTCTTTTTAATTTAATTGGTTTTTTTTTTTCCAATCTTATCTTGAAGTCTACCAAAAACTTGATAAGATTAGTTATGTCCGAATTTATTGTTCCGGGGATTCTATAGCCCACTTATACTATCATATTCCAATCCTTGTCTTGACGACCAAACGTAACCTTAACGTTTTAGGACAACACTTCAAGGTAAAAAGGACAAGATTATCCTTTGCTATCAAAACCTCATAAACCCATTGTAGACGACAAAGATGTTGAATGCCTTGCATTGAACAATAGCTAGCTCCTCTCTCTTTCCCATATCCAAGGTCACTTGAGGTTGTTTGGTAAATATCTTAAGGAAGGAATCTAGTGACCAACGCAATTTTTGAGTGGTGGGCATTGTGGTGTAGCAACGTGGGTCCGATGACAAATTTCATAGTTCGATATGAAGAAAGAGAATAGGGATGAAATTAGGCGTCGATGGAGATTGAAGTTGAGATTTCTTGATGTAGAAGAATACTTGGATTAAAGGGGAACAGACCTAACACTCTGAGCTCACCTGTGAGGGATAGATTATTGAGATGCACGTGTGAGTTGTGTTAAGGAAATTCCACATCGGAGAATTAATATGGTGTGAAACAGTTAATATACCTAAGTTGGCCAATAACTCATTGGTTTAAATTTTTGAATAAAGGTGGGTCCAATAAAATATATTAACGGGTTCGGACTCGGAGTCTATCTTGGCGATCTTCTCAAGTGAAGATACAAAATTGCACACTCCCAACAATTGTCACTTCGAACAAAACATGATATAAATGACTTTAAATGTGTATAATGCCAGCATTTTGGAATGCCAGTTAATCATGCTGGATAGGAAGTAAATAGAAAATTTAATTAAGGCCACAGATGAACCCCATAACTACTCATACGTCAAATATTTAGCTAAGTGACTCTATCCATTTCTTCCTTCGGAAAACATACAGCAAACATTGTTAGTAGAAAGAAAGTTTTACATTGGTGACCTTATCCACCCTTAATTTGAGGATAATAACTACCTACCCTCTCAAATTAGCAGTATATGAAACGGCTTGTATTAAAAAAAGGAATCACATTGGCGACGCCTGCTATAATTACTCATTCATTAAATAGTCTTGCCTGTCATTGTTCTTCTGGTTACCCGGGCAAATGGAACGGATCCTCTCAGCTTATGAGTTGAATTGACCAATTCAAAATTGCCCGCTTGAAAGAGACCACCATCCTAATGGTTCCTATCTATTCACATCCTCGAGAGAAAAACAGAAAACAAAGATCCGTAATTCGAATCAAATGGCCACAATCTTTTCAATTCTTTCACAAAAGCAGCCAAAATTCAACTCTGTAAAGCGGCATCCTTTTCAAGGACACTGAGATAGGCTATTCAAGGACCAAAATCTCATTGATTAAGGGGAAAAAGCATTCGTTATGCGAATAATCTAAGCGGGTCCTAAGATTGTCGAACGTATTCAAATAAACCGAAGAAGTTAGGCCTTCAATTCGCCTGTTGTTAACGCTCCGATAGAACATCGCTTCGCCGGACTTCGGGGAGAGGGCCAATTCGCAAAGTTTTCCTTTCTTTCGGGCAAGCAAAAAAAATTATGCTTATCATCGTGAAGGAGAACGAGTTAAAAAAGTCAACGACTGTTCATACAATGAGTAAACAATTGGCCACAACCACTCCATCACTCAGAAAACTCAACCAACAAAAGAAACCAAACCCCATCCAGATTGGAACACTTCACTCCCATTATTCGATCCAGTCCAATATAAAAGTGACATCAACTCCTTCACATTCTAATAAACAAAACTGCAAAGAACCCACCACTCAACAGAAACGGCAGATCCACCAACCGGGTTGGCCCGCCAGAAAGACGGGTTAGCTTCCCTGTCAACATCGACCGCGACCCATCTCCTTTGCTTCATCTCCAAGAGAGAGACAACCCCCATGAAGTCTACATGGTTGCTCACGTTTCTTTACTCTACGTATTTCCCTCTTCGCCATTTTGCCCAACAAATATGTATTCACACTTTCAACAAGACCCACCTAATCAGTGTATTCTTGGTTGGATATGACCAAGAATTTTGACCCGGTTCGCTATTTAGACAACAACTAAATGTAAGATCCATTTTCGATACAACCTATATGTTACGCGATTGACATTAATCACCACGAATTTGGATAATTAATGGACTCTCCAAATCGTGATTATCTTTATTAATGGCGATAGATAAGGATAAATAATGGGCTATTGTGTATAATGTACTAAACAAGACCTATGATTCTTTTGGAGGGTACAGCAGCCGGACCCACCGATCCTATGAGGCTCGGCCACGTGTGCCCGTATTATTGCCGTGGTTCGGACAGGTCATTAATCCTCAATCTTGCATAATTCCAAGTCAAGCACCGTTTTCCACGGATAAACTTCCCTTAGTTTAGTCCTGCAGACAAAAAGGATACCGAACAGAAACCATAGTAGAAAAACAGGGGAAAGCGAGCAGGTTCACGTTCTTTATAGACATTCGGTGAAGAAGGATCACGGTAGATTTATGACAGCATGTGTTAGGCCCGGAGGAAAGCTAGATCTTCCTTCAGACAGACTTTCAAGCGAAAGACCAGAGCAGTCCTCTGGTCTCTCCTATGTAAAACGCACCATCAACAAGCCAATTCGAGAGAGGATCGGGTCTTCTCGTCCAAACCCATATCGAAGATGGGTTCCAACACCAATGGCGCGAGCAAGACCCCCTTCGCCATCAACGCCAAGATCATCCTCCTCAGCTTCCTCTTCCTCTTCCTCGTCCTCCTCGTCGTCCGCACCACCTTCCCTTCTTCCCCGCAGCTCTACCCGCCCGTTACGCCTTCCAGCACCGAGCTGACGATCCAGACGACACAAGCGCGGGACCCCACCCCGACCGACTGCCCGACCACCACCACAACCCCCGCCGACGCTGCCGTGACGTGCAACAAGGCGCCGCCGTCCTTGGCCCTAGCCCTCGTCCACTACGCCACCACCAACATCACCCCGCAGCAGACGTACGACGAGGTCTCCGTCTCCCTCCGGGTGCTGGCCAAGAAGTCGCCGTGCAACTTCCTCGTGTTCGGCCTCGGCCACGACAGCCTCATGTGGACCTCCCTCAACCACGGCGGGCGCACCGTCTTTCTCGAGGAGGACAAGGCCTGGATCGACCAGATCACCCAGAAGCTCCCGACTCTGGAGGCTTTCCACGTCACCTACGACACCAAAGTCACCCAGGTAACGGACTGACCGTGCCTCGTGCAGTTTTCTAGTCATTGATACTGCAAGATTCTTTCATTTCGTCCCCACGTTGCTTTGAAGTCGCATGTTTCTCGTCCCATGATCAACTTTCCGCGTCACTAACAAAAGAAAACTGTTGATATCGATGATGCATTAGGCCGACAACCTGATGAAGCTCCGGGACGAGGAGGAGTGCCGGGAGGTGGCGGACCCGAGGTCCTCCAAGTGCGAGCTGGCGCACAAGGGGTTCCCGAGCGAGGTGTACGGCGTGGAGTGGGACCTGATCATGGTGGACGCGCCCACGGGGTGGCACGACGAGGCCCCGGGGCGGATGAGCGCCATCTACACGGCCGGCCTCATGGCGCGGAACCGGGAGAGCGGCGAGACCGACGTGTTCGTGCACGACGTCGACCGGGCCGTCGAGGACGGCTTCTCCAGGGCCTTCCTGTGCGACGGATACCTGACGGAGCAGGTGGGGAGGCTGCGCCACTTCACCGTGCCCAGCCACAGGGCTCGCTCCGGCCGACCGTTTTGCCCCTAGAGTACCCGAATCTTTCTCCTCCTTTTTTCATTTGCATTTTCCTGGGGGTATTTACGGAAATCTGCGAAGAGGGAAATGAATTTCTTTTTTACTTGTGAATCCTTTTTTTCTGTTTTTTTTTTTGTAATTTTATTTTTATATTTGCTGGGAGGTGAATTCATTCCCTATTTTCGCTCTAGGGCGTGCGTACGACCAGGACACGTCGATAGAGAATTTGCATCCAATTAATAAGTGTTCTTACTAATAACATAACAAAACCTAGATAACTGTAATTAGTGAATTACAATTTTTTCCCCTATTTTCCTAAGCCTTGACAAATTACGTGAGTGGCGAGATTATTAATTGTCCTGACATTTAATTCTCGAGTGATTTTCTTTTTTATTTTTTTTGGGGGGGGGGGGGGGAGGAGGGGGTGGATTTAAATTAATTAGCTTTCCTCCCGCATGTTAAGGAAAGAGTGCGCACGTAATGATAGCCCGTGATGGGAGGAATATAGTGGGACCAGTCATGACATCAGCAAAAGTTTTGGTTTGTGGTTGGTCGAATGCAAAGCCAAATTGGCAGATAGGATTCGTGCGATGTTCCTTAAAGCGAACGATTACCGACTATATGGTCATGATTCATTCAGGGCTGGCTTTTGTCATTCTTGCTGCTTTGGCGGAGGTGGTTGGGATGTCAATGTTCGCCATCATCAGTGGCTCCTAAGTTTAGTGAAAAGATCTGCATTACCTTGATTGATGTCAATGGAGCGAGTCTTATGCAGAGATTTGCACTTTGCCTACTGTGCATCTACAGAGAAGATCTCAATGGGGCTTCCACCGAGAAGCCCAAGCCACAATGACACTCGTTATTACAGCATCTTTTCAAGCTTCAAGATTCAATATCTTGTGATGAGCAGACTTCAATTGAGTTCTTGAGTCAAAAGATTGGTCTTTGGTTTGGCAACACGATAGAGTGTGATTGCACGGCCATTGGGTCCCCTTATCGCCAGTGCTCGTGTCATATCCAATAACACCCAGTCCCATCGATTTAATTGCCAGCGAGCCCACCACAAACCATCGTTTGATAGTTCGTGAGGAAAAGATCCGACACCAGAAATATCTCTCTTCAATTAACTCGTACCTCTTCAACAGCTTGGTCAGTTTCTATTTATTTCAGTTCCAAATGTCGATACGAGTGAGGAGCAAAATTGGACAAGAGGGAGGTGCTTATCCTTTGTATACATGGCGTTCACACCCATTCTAATTCAAGTGGAACGGCAAAAAGTGTCATGGATTAGCGAGTTCTGACAATGGATCCAAGACAAATTGTGGATTGTCCTAGTATGTTTTATCTTATTAGCTCGACTGACTCGACCTAAAGAATTAAATTGTTCACTCGAGTATTTTCTTTTGTCATGTTTGCGAGAGCAACCCATAAGCAAGGTGTATGTTTGATTCTTGTCCATCACCGTTTTGTCAATTTTAGCAGTTTGATTGGGTATTGTCTATTACCATTATGGGTTTTCGATCCTCTATTTCCATTTTAATTTTGGCTAGCCTGATCGTGTACCACTCTTGAATCCAACTCACTATCGGGTACGTTTTTTCAGGAACACTACTCACAATGTGTTAGGTGGATTGAGTATAATAAACCGGATCGGATCGGAATCATTAAAACTGTATTACAAGAAAATAGGCCAATAAGAGTTAAACGGGTCAATTTGGATCGAATTTATTTTTGGTCCATTCAAACCCGATCCGAACCCCATGTTTGACAAATCGACTATTTACTGAGGTTTTTGTATTTGCTCGTACGGTTTTCTGTTCATGAATTTAGTAGAGTATATATAAGGGAGAACGATGCAAATGGTCCATAAATTTTAGCCAAATGTGCAGTGTAGTATTTGAACTTTTAATATGTTCAATGCAATCCTTGAAATGTACAATGTTGTCCTCAAACTTTTAAATTATTCAATGTGGTGCTCAGAATTTGGTACATATTCAATTTAACCCCCAGACTACATGAAAATGTTCAATATTGTCCATGAACTTGAATTAATATAAGGACAACATTAAATATTTTCATATAGTTCTGGAACAAATTGAACATTAAACTACAATTTCATGGACTACACTGAACAAATTAAACGTTCAGGAATCACATTGCATATTGAGCCAAAATTTAGGGATTATTTGTGTCATTATCCCTATAGTATATTAGGAGGCGGAGTTTTCCATGTTCCGGTGTGTCCCGTTCCCGAGCGCGAATATCCTCCACCCGCAACCAAACAGGGGGGAAAAACCTCGGCCATCCTCTCTTATCGTCGTCATCATCTTCTTCTTCATACCAGAAGCAAATGAGATAACGAGAGAAACGCCCCCCAAGTTTCACGAAGAAGACGAAGAAGGATGACCAAGGCGAAGAAGCAGCTGCTTTCCAAAGCCCCATGGAGGGTGGAGGAAGACGACCAGTCGGACAAGTTCAAGGACGCGAAGCTCAGGGTCACGAGCCAGCCCGGGCAGACCCCGACCATGCACGTCCCCCGCAAGAAGAGCAAGCCCGGCGACGCCGGCGAGGAAGAAGACGATTCTGCTCTCGATCCCGAGCTCCGCTACAGCTTCCAGCGGAATTTCAAGGTTCGCGCGCTCTTGTAGTCTCGATTGAGCTCTAAAACTCATTGGGAAGTAGGTAAGTGCACGGTACGTGTTTGATCTGGTGCTGCGCGCGTCGAAGCGATCCTGGACCCCTTTCTGGTGCTGTCTTTTTGGTTCGTTCCGCGAATTTTTGAGATATATGAATGGAAATGCAGCGCGCTTTGCGCTTGCCAGTGAATTTAATCCGAGAATTTCAATTGTGCATTGTCGTGTTCGCTTGAGGGCTGAAGTAGTCAGTGACTGTGCCTTGTCGATGAGTCAGTCCTGGGTAGCGAAGGTGAATGTCTAATGACTTGTGTTTTCGGAGCGTGATGGCAATGGTGACCATTTGAACTTACTTTGAGTCATGAATGTTGTAGGTGGACTAGCTGTTGCTGTACTTTCTTGCGGAATGTTTTCAGGTCCATGGCTGTTAAAATGCATGGAATTTCCACGACAATTTCACTCCTGTCTGTCTAGTTATCGGAATAATAGATAAGCTTAGGCATTTTGCAGGAATGATCACTGGAGTACTTACCATTTGAAAATCAATAAATGAGTCAGAGGATTTGTCTGATGTGAGTGCGACGCATCGGATGATTGGTTTCCTTAATTGAAGTTCGTGGTACTTCACAGTGTTTGCCCAAAGCAGTGCTTTTAGTAGCTGGTCATTTGTTTGTTATAGGGCAATGTAAAGCAGCATTAATATGGGTTAGAATTAGAATTAGAATTCTAACTCTAACGTTCTGCATTCACCACTATCTTGTTGGGATTCTTTGTTTATGGAAAATTTACATGGATGCAGTTGCCATTAATGTTATGTGGGCGCATGATGTAAGTCTTTGGTGTGTGCTCTATGTGCACAAGCATTCACAATGTCACACGGCATTTGTACCTTTTTCAAGCTGTTGATGTCTGTCTTATTGGTTGGGGTGGCAATTCTTTCAGATAGAAGTGAGGTTAGTAGGAGAAAAGGTTGAAGAGTACCCATGATGACAAGCAGCTTAATATCATACTTGAATATTATGATGCTTTATCTTTATCAAGATGAGCGTACTTTTTTCTTGTCATTACTGTTATGATGAAATGAATATCAACTTTGGACCTACTCAATTGTGATGGAAATGGCACTAATAACCGAAGCAATGTTTTGAGATGTATCCTTTATGTACATTACAAAAACGTTGCGCTTTCCGTATCAATCGGTCAGTGAATTTATAGTTTTTATTAAGGGGAGGCTACAGCACCTATGACGTGGGCTGGAGAAAAGATTCATGAAACCAATTCCACTTGTGGGAAATCCTTTGGTGGTGTCACTGTTATTGAGCTTGCACTTCCCTCTCTCTTCCTTGTTTATGATATGTGTAGCTCTTTGTTAGTTATAGCCCTTACATTTTCCCCTCCTTACTTTTTGACTTAGCTATTTACTTGTCATGTGTAATCTCATTTTCTTTTGTTCTTTTCTGTTTCGACATAACTTTCTGATATATTATTTATTGCACTTGCAGTTCCTTCAGCGGGTATTTAGCATTGACACCATTGTCAAACCTCTTCCACCTGCCATGGCGTACAATGTCTCCAGGAATCTAAGCTTCTTTACGCGTATTTTCACTCAGTTCTTTGGTAGGTTGTTTCTGACATATTCTCCTCTCCTCTTGTCAAGACAACTAGTTTGAGGCTTTCAGCACTAACAAGTTCTAAATTTCTAATAATATTTGAGGTTGAGCAGCTTTACTTTCCGTGTATAGCCGTATTGTGCCTGTGATTTCTTTTACCCAGTTAAAACTGGTAGGACATGCATCAAGTGCAGAACATTCATGTAGGATGTGGGCTTTTCTGGTTATCTTCCTTCAATTCATGATGGACTACTTTGCATGTAGTTCTAGACATTTTCTTTTCCACGTTTATCCATCTTAAAGAAAAGGAGGATTATCAAATTGATCCTCTTCCTTGCTTGGTTTTGACTTTTGAGTCATAGTTGAGGTACTTCCAGCCTGTCTACACTCCAATCAGGTGACAGCTCTAGTATAACGGCAGGATGGAGGTAATTTAGCAATGTGTGTATGACACAAAAGGTATTTAATGATGCAAGAATCAGAAGAACAATAAGATCCTCCCACCTGTTGCTGCTAAGTAGTACACCTGAATCACCACCATCTGGTATTTCTTCCTCTACACTTAAAAGGGCCGCCAATGTGACACAAAGTGCGAATTGCGGCCTATAAACTGCAATAAGTGATTGAGTTTTCAGGTAGTGACGACACTAAGTGGAAATTAGTGACTCAATAGTGAAGCTTTATTCACTGTCTACCTTCTCAGGATGATAGTGGAAATGTCTGATTTGTGGTTTGGATTTCTTTTTTTCTCACCATTAGAATTCTATTCAGTTGAGTTGACCTATTTTTCTCTCCTGACAGACCCAGAAGGAATTGCGAATGCGCAGAAATCGCTTGGTATCGGACAAGAAGAAAAAGCTCGCCGTGTTCGTTGAACATACGGTGATAGGATTCAGCACTCGATGAAAACCATCCTTGCTACAATTTGGTTTGATCCCGGGTTTCAACTGGGATGTCGAGTTTATGATGGTAAACTGTAGCAGGAACAGTCCTTGAGCTTTCTGAGCTAGATACGTGAAATTTTTGTAATAGACAAGAAGCACATGCAATTCTGTACCTTTTCTGCAGGACCTGTTGACACATGTACTTTTTCAAAGTTGTGTATCCTGAGACTCTTCCATTATTTGCAAAATTGCTCCTGGAAGCTTGGAAAACAAGTCAGGTTGGCACGTTTATGAGACAGTGAATACATGTGTCAAAAACATCTGAACGTGCTCATTGTTGTAAGACACTGTTCTTTGCGACTTCATTCCAAATAGAAAGCACAAAGATTTTGTTTGGTAGCGTCCCTGAACAGAAATACTACATCTAAAGATGCCATCGATGCATCGACCTGATATTCCGTTTCAAGGAGCAAAACTCAGGACTTAACGGAGAGACATGTTAACAAATTGGAGGCTATTGAAGATGTTCAGGGAGTGATCCTAAACATAAAACATAAGGCCAGGTAAAGTCTATGGATTGAGGATTTCGGTGATTACACGATAGCATCACGGAAATACCTCATCACAACTGCTGTGAACTTTCGCTAATCCAAATCGATGATTTAATCCTTCGTGTTTCTTTGGAAATAAAGATAATTCTATTTCTCCAATGGCTCATGGACAATTTTCATGTATCCGTTATTTTTCTTCGGTACAAAATCTTCATCACTCCCTTAATAAGTACTCTAGCAAACTAGTTCAAATTCTAACAAAAATTTCCTACATTCTGAAGCATAAATAGAAGACAACGCAACAAACGTAAGTCATATCGACTCGTTTGGTTTCCATAGCCAATATGAAAGGAAAAACCAAAAGGACTCTGACACTATGGGTTCACCTACAATAATCCATAAATCACAGCAGGTATCTGCAACCAGGTCAGAGTTAAATGATCTGGAATGATTGCAAGTGCATGAACATCCAGATATGAAGGATGAAATATGTTGACGTACTATACCTTACCAAAAAAAAAAATATGTTGACGTACTATTCTGTACAACGGAAATTGCACGCACACACGTATGGATATATAGTCATTAACAATTGTCGAGCCCTGTCGTATTAAGTACGGTCCAGTACTTTATTCATCCAGACCTCCTCGCCAGTACCCTGAGTAACTTATCCCACATTCCGACAGGAATTTCTCATAATCCTCTTCAAGTTTTCCATATGCCTGGAAGCCATCCTCAGAAGAACTCTGAGCTTGATCCTCTGATGGACACTGCACAAGAGTTCGTGCCAAAGATGAGGACGTGAGCCACATGGCCCAAGAAGCAGAAAAAGAAAGGAGTTTCATATTTTGTATCACAGATCATCAGCAGATTCATCAATACAAAATTTGCAGATATTGTTAAGCAAAGAAACAGGAATACAACACAAGCTCGGGTGCACAGACACATGGCAAAAGCCATTCATGGAAGAGGTTTCTGGAATTAGCAGTCCATGACCCACTGAATCCTCATTTTTAATTCACAACGATAAATCAGGCAAACTTTGTCATCAGTAACTATAGCTCAAATTACAATTCTCAGGAGTCAAATACAATGGTAGAATGATATTATACATCTAGCTTCCTCTTGATAGTTGTATAATCTTACTAATTTCACAATGCAATCTTACGATTCGATTTCATAGACCCCACAATGATCGTATTTTAAGAAACGGTTTTGACAACCTTGGTGGCTACAGAATTGAGGTGCTCTACAGGAAACCAGATTTACAAGCTAATGAACAAGAAAACCACTTTTAAGTATTTGAAAGAACAGAAGACGTGTTAACAAAGAACTTACACCAACGTCTGATTTAGATTCAGGATCTGAAACATCTAGCTCTCTGGCATCAAGTAGTGCAGATTTCCATCTCTTACTTTTGGGGACCTCATGGTGTTGCTTTGGCTCTATGATATCTTCCCGTCTCAAATAACCAGCAACTCTAGTGCAGAGGACACTATTTATGCATCTGATGCAAAATGCTATAAGAGCGACCAGAACTAGAAAATAACCAGTGGTTTTAGCCTGATAATGAAATGACAAGCTATTTGAGATCACTAGCATTGAATATTATGCAAGATAAAAAATTGCCCTCAAATCTCTAAAACTACAACAGCATGAGCTTCAAAAGTCCTGAGTCTGAACAATCTGAACGTACATATGGTAATTGATGGGAGATCAACACAGTGAAATTCCTCTTCTTTGAGAAGCGATCCAGCATCTTCGACGTCTTCCATTGCTTTTGCTGTAAATCAAACTCGAGTAATTTCTTCTTCTCTGTCTGACATTGGCTGCCATGAATAAGTACGGAGAAGCAAAAGACTGGTCCATATAAAGTAGAACATAGAAATCAAATGGTGCTGGCCTAGGTCTGAAGACCATGATAAAATGAACAGCACAAGTAAACTTGTGATTGCAACAGAAACAGTGAGTTATGCCGACAGATTTTTTAGTATATTCATGTAGAAGACCAAGTCACAGAACTTCAGGTCCAAAGTGGCACTTTCCAACACAAATTAAGGCACGCAATATAAGAATGAGTTTGCTAATTGAGCATTTGCACAACTCATACGTTCAGTTGGATTGGATTATAGAGAATAGATTCAAGATCAGATAACCCGACCACTTCACAGCATGAAATATTGGAAAGATGCAGCTTCATACTACCAAATGATTTAGAAAAACCCACAATCAAACTTCACATATCAAGAATTATGCACAGACAGAAGTAAGCATGAACAAACATGTGGCACAAAATCTAGAACCTTAAGTAAAGATCTTGCATGGAAATAAAATACGGCAGAGTATCCACTAGTCAAGTTTATGAGTTTATCTCACCTTTTCAGTGCATCTCTTGGAAAGAGGAATCTTTAAGACCTGCCCCTCATAAACTAGGTCAAGGTCTACAATACTTTTGTTCAACGTCGTAATTGTGTGGATAGGTATCCCATACTGCTTTGATATTGAAGACAATGTTTCACCCCTGTTACCACGGTACCATAATTAGTGGGTTGATGCAAGTAAGTTACCTAATCATATGAAATGAGTATATATAGTGGGCAACTCTACAAAGCCACAAAATGATTAACCAAACATCAAGGAAATCTAACTATACTTGGCAGTCACCACAGGCAACACTTCAGCGAGGAGCAACTCAGTATTTCAATGTTTTTGATTCTATATTCATTTTAGCTCGAACTCTAGAACACTATGCTCTGTATCGAAAAGTTCTGCCATTTGGTTGCACTTGCCAAACAGAAGCATGTTTTGTAAATTGTGATACCATCGATTTTTGACAAGTAATCGCCTGATTTGAAGAACAGCCCACGTGATCCATGAAGAATAAAATCCCAAGGGTTACTAGTTCTACGTGTAAGCTTGCTGTTGAAAATTCAGACTTACTCTTCGACCACATGAACCGAGAACACCTCAGCGAAATCTTGACACTTTAGTATCTTCCTCACGTGGAAGCTCCACGTCTGCCATAAAAACGAAAACTGTCCAGTCGAATTTCTAACTGGGAGTTAATGAACATCTACTTTCGGGTTTTCAAGAAAGAAGACAGGAGAAATGAATCAGGATTTGCTTTCCCATCAGCTTGACACCTAACCTTGCCTTGGAATAGCCGCACTACCAGACTAGTCCTTATCAGATAACGCAAGAACAAACATCATTGATTCAGAGAGAGAGAGAGAGAGAGAGAGAGAGAGAGAGAGAGAGATGGGTACCCCAGCAAGACCTCTAAAATGCTTCCTAAAGGATTTCTGATAGCCAGCCCAGGATTTCAGACAGAACCTGCAAGAGGGAAATGGACAGAACAGTAACGAACAAGACAGCCGTGTTATTGTACCTCATGAACGTAACACAGAGGAAGAAACAGAGTATGGAATGGGAAAGAAAGAACCTCGGAGGGTGAGAAGATGGGGTTCGAAGGGATGAAGAACAAGGAAGAGAAACAACCAGTTCCGCACTCGGACAACCACTCACTCGCGCTTCCATCACATATTCTTCCTTCTTCTTCTTCCTCTTTCTCTTTCTCCTCCACTTCCTTGGTCTTGTTCTTGTTCTTGTTGATTGATGGTTTTCTTGAGCAGGGGGTGGTCCAAAACCAAATTGGAGGACGGACCTCCTTGTCGTGTCCTCCTCACCCTTCACGCCGATTTCTTCACCACTATACTACGTTCCCACGAACGTGTCATTTCGTTAAGCGTTGGGAAAAACAGAAAAGAGGCCATTGAACCGAACTGCTTCCGGATAATGCTACAGTCCTTTTGAGGATGATTAGCAAGATTGATTCGCTCGGGACAGAAGCTTCTTGCATTTACAATTATAAGTAAGACCAATACGTGAATCGATTTTCATAATCATCACAAAAAACTAGCCACTTCTTTTCTTTGCCAGATTTTTGGAGCCGTTTGTTTTTTTTTTTTTTTTTTTTTTTTTTAACTTTTTGACTTTTCACAAGCCTCGCAATTTGATTTTTATAATGTGAAACATTTACAACCTTCGAGAAAATGCAAATCCGAAGATTAACATGTATAAGCAAATATAACTTTCCTGATAATTCTCGAAAGTCAAATTGACTTTTTCCTTATCGTAAATTTTTTTAGGAATAATGACACAAACAGTCCATGAACTTTGGCCTAATGTGTAATTTGATCCATAAATTTTTAATTTGTTTAATATAGTCCCTAAACTTTTTTTTAAGGTTCAATGTGGTCACTAAACTTTTAATTTATTCAATGTGGTCCCTAAACTTTTGGTATATATTCAATTTAGCCCTTAAACTATATGAAAATGTTCAATGTAGTCCCTGAACTTAAATTAATGGAAGGACAATATTAAACATTTTTATATAGTTTAGGGACCATATTGAACCTTAAGCTAAAGTTCAGGGATTACATTGAACAAATTAAAAGTCCAGGGACCAGATTACACATTGGGCCAAAATTCAAGAACTGTTTATGTCATTTTATCATTTTTTTAAAAGTAAAATAGGAATGAGATCTACGAAAACAAACAAAAAAACATTAGAATCGATTACACATCTTTTCTTTTTGATAATCGATTACAAATTGACATGCCAGTTTCTGTGACGAAAACACAATTTGAGATTTGGGCTGAAACGGGCAGGGCTTTATTGAGTTAGTGAGGCCCATGGTCTGCTTGCCCGATCCAATGAACAATGAGCCAAGAATAAGCCGACAAGGCATTAACGGAGAGGCACTCTTTCGAAAATTTTTCTCATGGTAAAAGAAAAAAAGAAAAAGACTAGGAATTTATCATATATTGAGTATTAGAATCCCATTTCATCTTGGCAAAGACTCGCCATTATATAAATAGAGTATGTGGCCCACGTTAAATAGGTAGGCCACACGTGATCCCATCATAAAGATAGAGAAGGCTCGTATTCCGTATTCACCAGGTGTATGCAAGACTTGCTCCAATTAGCCCGCTTATTCGACGGGCAAGCATGGACGATCATCTTCGTTATTCAGAGGACTGCAACGTGATTTTCAACGTCTAAATCTGATACTAACAAATGAATTTCCATTTTTGAGGCCATTGAAGCATGGTGGATGAAGAACATTTTGAGACAACGCATTTCAACAAAATCACTCATTCGGCACGGGCACAGGCACTTGTCAACAAGACTCTTGCCATATATACACATGGAAACCGAGATGGTTAGTTTGAATTAAGATAGTTCATTCTTCTGTAAGTTCTGAGAATAAGCCAGATTCTGTGTCACTATCTAAGCCTTGCTCGAGCAGTAAATGCTTGGTGCTACTTTTGATGCTCTGTTGACCCGCTTTCTTTAGATATCACTGATTACTGCTGCTTGGTTTGTTGAAGGCACAGTTAATGTTGCTTTGCAATTTGCCTATTGGCCAAACGTTCTGGCCATACGAATTCTTCTGTCCTGAGATCACCTGCAGCACATAAAAAGCAGAAACACTGCAAAAGCGATTCTGTTTCATAAATGTTTCAACTGTTTTACAGCAAGTTAAGCGATCTTTATGCCTCAAATGGGATGTTCCAGCTTTCATAATCACGAGATGGTACCTTGTATCACCGCCAGTTTCGTGCCACACATGATCCGCAACCGTAAAGCATACCAATTTGGAGTGATCGGATCACAATCCACTGTCCTTTATTCCCCATGAAACCAATAAAAGCTCCCATCAGATGTCCTGAGACGGCGAAAAGAAGCCGAGAACTCTAGATTGAGGTGAATATAGAGACTATATAAATGCTTGCCCATCTGGGTCCCTCTCAGCACCAATACTCGGATTGAATGAAAATGAAACTAAGGATGAGGCATTTGGGAGACATGAGTGTCGCATTGTTCTTGGTTTCCTGTCTGGCAACGAGAGCTTGCTCACAGCAACAGGGACCGCAAGTGCCCTGTTTCTTCATATTTGGCGATTCCCTTGTCGACAATGGCAACAACAACCGGATGCTCACGCTTGCGAGAGCAAACTACAGGCCTTACGGCATTGACTTCCCGCTCGGTGTGACGGGCCGTTTCACCAATGGGAGAACTTATGTGGATGCTTTAGGTACTCTCTCATTTTATTTCCATTTTCTTCCAGTAAAAACACCTGAAAAAGTCTCTTCTGAAGAAAAAGAAGTTGAACTTTAATGGTTCTCTGAAGAAAAACTTTGTATCAGTCACAAGATGATAAATCAGGAAAATTTGTGTAGGAACTTTGATGATTTGTTTGGTATTGTGGTTGATTTGAGCGACTAAAGTGTTTCTGGTTGGGATCTTGCAGCACAGTTGCTTGGATTTCCAACTTACATACCGCCTTATGCAAGAACAAGGGGACCTGCTTTGTTGAGGGGAGTGAACTATGCTTCTGGAGCAGCCGGTATACGGGATGAAACTGGGAATAATTTGGTACTGACGCGTGACGTACCTTCTAGCTTTTTCCAAAGTATTGTTTTCGGATGGATTATTATCTAGTCTAAGTCCAATGCTGCTGTCTAAAACATAGAATGGATTCAAGTTGAGTCTCCCCAGGAAAATATGAGGGGTTTTGCACACTGTGACTGGTTAGACTTACTGCCAAAGGTTAAAAGCTAGGAGACAATTTTTGCTCAAGTCTATTCCATGCACAATGATGTGGAAAAATTTCATTGGTATGGCAAAGTGAGAAAGAAGTATCACGACAAGTTTTTGATTAGTAGACAGGCAAATGCTTCGAGTTGGGTAGTTGCATGATTTGTTTTTTGCAACATGCATGTGTCCTCCGATCAAAGAAACCACGCAGCAAATTTCCTTCCATTGATTCGTTGCTTGTCGATATGGAAACCTCACTTATAACTGAGCATTCTATTTTGTTGTTTTCAGCAAACAGAAATCCAGGCACCACAACAGGAGCAAATTTTTTGAGCATGTCATTAGTTGATGCTATGCTAAGTTCAACAGACCACAAGATGGCGGAATTATATATTTGACTAATGAAATGGTTTTGCCTGCAGGGCGATCATGCTTCAATGAACCAACAGGTTGCAAACTTTGGTGATACAGTGACCCAGATGAGGAGGAACTTTAGAGGAGACACCAATGCACTCAACAGCTACCTAAGCCGATGCCTTTTCTATTCTGGGATGGGGAGTAACGATTACTTGAACAACTATTTCATGCCGAATTTCTACACTACGAGTTCAGACTACACTGCCAAAGCCTATGCAGCTGTTCTGCTTAAGGACTACTCACGCCAGTTGACGGTAAGTAGACGAGTTCTCGCTTCTGACATGTGTTCATCTGAATTCTAAACAAACAGGCTCGATAATGCTAAGTTAACTTCTTTCAGCTGTAAATTTTTATGTTGAATTTTAAATGGGGAATAAATAACTCGAAAGTCATTACAGGAATGTTGACCTTTCTACATAAATTCATGGAAGTTAAGAATCTAAGTATATAATACAATAGGCCCTACTTCAATTCCTCCCTCTCTATTATAATCCATGTTCACTTCAAAGTTATGTTGGCAATTCTTTGGCATGCTATAGGATGGATGCCCTGTAATAAGTTCGTATTTTTTGTTTCTTGTGCAAGCTTCAATTTGCTTAATGATTTGGCCAAAAAGGCAAACTTGCTTGATGATGGGCTATAATGGAGCCTATAGTTCACCTGTTTCACATTGTTTCAGCAACTCTATAGCTTGGGAGCGCGGAAGGTGATTGTCACTGCCGTTGGCCAGATCGGTTGTATACCTTATCAGCTTGCCAGATACAATGGCAACAATAGTCGATGCAATGAGAACATCAACAATGTAATTGTTCTTTTCAACTCTGGGCTCCGCAAGATGGTCGATGCATTCAACAAGGGTCAGCTACCCGGAGCTAAATTCGTGTACTTGGATTCTTACGAGAGCACGAAGGATCTGTACCTAAATGCAGCAAACTTCGGTAATTTCTTGCATACCAATCATTTACGGAAATTATCCTTTGCGCATTTTTGCATAATTTGCTAGCGGGAGCTAATCTTGATGATGATGCAGGATTTGAGGTGATTGACAAAGGTTGTTGCGGAGTGGGGAGGAACAATGGGCAGATAACTTGTCTTCCGCTTCAACAACCTTGCACAAACAGGACCAAATACTTGTTCTGGGATGCATTCCATCCCACTGAAGCTGCCAATATTATGCTGGCCAAGACATCCTACAGCTCCAGAACCCACTCCTTCACCTATCCAATCAACATCCAACGGTTGGCTCAGTTATGAAAACAATTGAATCGAGTCGGGATGTACTTGGCATTGGGCCTGGGCTTCAATGCAGTTGCTTTTAGATTCTGATTTTCAATAATATGAACAGTTTTTGACATTATCTAATGGCCTCTCGAGATTAGGATTTATTCCATCTTATGTTTGACTAGATGTGTCTTTCAATCGTTCCCTGTTTATGCACCTGCACAACAATTAAGACTTTTATGTTTTCTTTACTTGTGATTTTCCATGTGGGTATTCGCATGCCATGTTTGTCAAGAAAAGATGCATTGTCTTCACATGAACCAAGTCTATGAAAGTTAATGCACTGGACCAACATACTGATCGTATCACTATCCAGGAAT